TTCTAATAAATACTGGAAGAACAGGAAAAAGAGTGAACGCTACGGTGAGAACGAAAACAGAGGTCACGATGCATTGTTGGAAGGGTAAAGAAAGGAGGAAATTGGCTGAAGTGCACAGAAACAGAGGTGGATGCAATCTGAAATTTTTAGTAGGACTTTGAATAGAAGCAATTGCAGGTAGGAGTTTGGGGTCTGAAATTAAAACTGAACTGCTACTCTGATAAGCCTGCATTTGAGAAGGATTGTGTGCCCCCAACTTCTGAAATTAATTCTTACATATTTTATAGCTAAAAAGCTCCAAGGCTGGTGGATAACCCAAAAATACTGTAAAGGTTATTATGAATAACATTTTATAAAACAACCTGTGTCTACCTTTGTTGAGTCCATGGCTAATGTACACAGCAGGCTATTATAAACCTTGATTTAAATTGTTCACATGCATCTAGGTTATAAGCATTTTTTAGTTCTCACCTTGCTAAGTGAGCTTGCTTTTTGAAAACATGGATTTAACATCTGTAGAGTGAGAATATATATTTGGATTTAGCTGGGCGTGGAGCAATCAATTCATAAGATAAGAGAAGAGAGGAAATGCTTATAAACAGATACATCAAATGCAGATGATGTAATATTCTTGATAATGAGCCATTTTATGTAGAGTTTATAACGTGGATATTTTGAAGAGTCAGCCATTTCTTCTCATAAAAGCAAAACAGTAAGCTCAAGGACATCTTACTTAGAATATTGAGTAAGCTGAAGTAATTTTAACGAGAATGAGTGCCTCTTTGCATCAGAAGATAGCAGATTAATGACTTGTAACATTAAAGGTAGAACCTAGAATGACACAGAAGGAGAATATGCATATGACTTATCCCGTGCTCCGACAGCCGTATATAAGCACCTCTCTTCCCATAGTGACACTCGTACTCAGGATTTGACCTTGACCAGAAAACCAAACTCACCACCTCTGACACCATGAGCTACTACGGGAACTATTACGGAGGCCTGGGCTACCCCTATGGAGGTTTTGGTGGCCAGGGCTATGGCTGTGGATGTGGCAGCTTCCACAGACTGGGCAGGGGCAGTGGCTATGGAGGTTACGGATTTGGCTCCAGCTTTGGGAATTTCGGATACGGCTTCCATCACCCATCGTACTATGGAGGATATGGATTCTCCAGATTCTACTGAAACCAGTATCTGAAGCCATGAGAAGGTTACTCAACCTGACTATAATAACTAAATGAAACACATTTACCCTGGACCAAGTGGAGATAAAGAACTTCTGGAATCTAATCTGAATATTTAGCATCTTAAAATTGTCTACGTCATAGCATCTGGTGTCCCTCTCGTAAATGTAGTATTTTTCAATTTTCCTTACAATAAACTATCATAAATTCTAGCAGCACACTTGGCTTTCATTTTTTATATTTCTTTTTAATAGCTTGGTACATTTGGATTTAGCTAAAGATTGAATTATATATTTAATAAAATTTTTCAAGGCTTGTACTAATACTGTCTTAGATAGGCTCGAACCTTCAAAAAGTGAAACGATTTCCTAAAAATTAAAAATTTCATGACTAGTGAAATCCAGATTGGAACCTTGCTTTAATGAACACCAGGTACTTTCTTTCCTTAGATGCATCATCCTACCCCACATGGACAGTCCTTTGCTGCTGACCACTGCAGTATCTTGCAGGTTCTGCTGATGTGTTATCTAGAAGAGTTACGTTATCTCGGCAAATTGTTCATCTCTATTCATTTTGATCTTTACATATTCTATTACAGAATCGTGAATTTGTCAATTTCAAATTTAGTTGTAGCTATATAAATACAAATTGTGATTAATGCCAAATTCAAACTTTATCTTAGAAAACTGCCATAAAGCATTTGGGAATTTAGGTTTACATACTGAACATATGAATGGATTTTATGAGCAGGAGAGTATTACCAACTGCTTCACTCAATTAAGTGAGGTGCAGTTCTAAAAAGAACCTGAGTAGGGATAGCTCGATATCTTTACTGGGGGACTATACTGTTTAATTTGACTGAGCAAAACAGAATTTCATATCAAAACACTTTTCTTCTCTGAATGATTAACAGCACCACAGTCTGAAGAAACATTTTGTATGTTTAAAGTAGAGTGATCAATATGATCATTTAGAGACAGTACTAACACAGTGCAACACAGTTTATCATATTATTGTGTCACTGATTGTTAGATTGTATTTATTGAAAGAGCAGCTCTGGAACGTGTTTACTTCCAAGGAAAAAGTGTCATTTGCTCTCAAGAGAATGTATCACAGCATCTTCAGCCTCAAAACTGAGAAAAGGTCTGACACAATATACAGCAGAGTGACATCATTACACCTGTTTGATTTATGATTTTATGGCTCCAATTGACTTTATGAGAATTAAATCTCCAAATTAACAACTATATTTTAATTTAGGATGCATTATGAATCAAGGCAGGTTTTGCAGACACTAGAGAAAGAAATAAAAATAATATGTGAAGCTGTCAAAGTTTCTTAATTAGATAAAAAAGCATTAAACATAAAATAAACAATATTAATATATTGGATTCCATTATTTCAAGAAACTCTTTTTATAATAGGCACCACTTTAGAGTGAGAAAACAAATCACATACTTGGAATAAACATTTTAAAAACAAAGATCTAAAAAAATGCCTGTACATAAGGAACCCTTACAACATAATGCTATAATATTAAAAACCCACTTAAAATGGAGAAAATACTTGCCAATAAGCATATGAAAGCATGGGAAATATCACTACTTTTCGAGGAAACCTCAAACTGAAACAATATTCAGACTATGCTGGACAGAAATAAAGATGTACTTAATTTCAGAACAACACATCCAACTATGTGGTGTAATGTGTTTATGAAGAATTCTGGTTAAAGTGTAGCATGTTCAAGTCTTGTAGACACAGAAAGTTCTTCTTATAAAAGTGTTGCAATGAAGTTCAGAGACAAAGGAAAAATTGTTCAGAAAGTAGGAAAAAATGTAAGATACAATGCCCATAGTGTGGTCAAACTAAAATTGTTTTAAAATGACCAACGTTGTCAAAGATGTGGGGGCAATTAGAAGTTTCTTGTTGGTAGTACTCTAGAATTTTAAAAAATTGGGAGCATCGGTGACAACATCTACTGCAGCTGGTGTTAAAAGGTAGAAATATGATTATCTCTAGTAAATGCTGTCAACCAAGAAGGACCAATGGAAACATTTGGGGATTAGGTATGCTGAGGGTCAGTAGAATAAGCACGTACATCACCCCCTTTGTCCAGAAGGGATCCATTCCAACCCTCCATCCAAGTGGATGCCTAAAATCACAGACAATAAATTCTATATATGATGCATTTTCCTACACTTCTGTAATTGTGACAAAACTTATTTTAGAAAATAAGAAAAATAAGAAGATTTTAGAAATATAAAATTTTTAGAAAAATAAGAGATTAATAACATGATAGAGTAATTGTTAGATGTACCGCAATAAAATTATGCAATAGTTGTCTTTCTTGCTTCAAATATTTTATGTACTTACCCTTCCCATTATAATGATAAGGTGAGGTGAATGACACTGGCTAGGCGTCGTGACAAAGCCCTAACTACATAAAAGTCACTCGAGCACAAGCTCTCCGAAACTATATGGGTTGTTTTGATACCTGAGATAGCTAAGTAACTAATGGGTGGGTAGAGTACTAAGCTGGAAAAAGGGATGATTCACATTCTAAGTGGATAGAAACTAGTTGGAGTGAGATTTCACCATGCTCTTTTAAAAGATGCACAATTTAAAATGTGTGAATTATTTCTGGAAAATTCTATTCAATATTATTAGACTGTGGTTGTCCTCTGCTGACTCAAAGAGTGAAAGTGAAAATGCAGATACAAAACAACATCAGAGGCTATACTCAAATTTATATTACAATATAACTCACTATGTTTGCATTATGCTTCAAATAAAATTAATGCAAATAAAATACAATAAAATGAGGGTTATTTGTTCCCCTATGGTTAAGTGCTACTTAAATTCATTTTGTAAAAGTCCTTTTAATTAATGTGCATTCAGTAAGTTGGCTCAAGCTTGTGAGAGACCCAATGCCTACTTTTAAATTCCTTATAATTCACTAATCCCTTCAACATTTACTCATGGGTTTGTTACTACACTGTAATCATGGCAGAAAGAAAAAATAACAGCTGTGAAATTGTTCCACTTGAAAATTGCTGGTAAGACTGGAAAACTTGACTCCTTTATTTATTGTCCTGATTTGACTTTAATTTTGAACAATATTATGCTATCTTGGTATGCCAAAGTAGTTTTTATTTTTCAATTTTATAAAATATGATACTAATAGTTATGATGGTCGATGTTCTAAAATAATATAAAATTATTGCCATATTTCACCTTTTTCTTCCCGGACATTCTCCACAAGAATACAGAACAGGTGAGTTAATGCTTCCAAATTTTCAAACATTTTCTTCCCTTTGAAAACGGACCACACCACGGGGCAAAAGATGGCTTTGAAAGGATATGATAAATTGAAGAGTCTTGGATTTAATCAAGTTCCTTCATTAAATCCTAAGTGAAGCTTGACGATCCAAAGCAGCGTAGCAATGAAGACATACTTCATTTCAGAACAACACTGCCAACTCTGCTGTATAATATGTTTACGAAGAATTCTACTTAGTGTGTAGTGTGTTCAGATTTTGTAGAAACAAGATCTTCTCCATATAAAAGTGCTGCAATGCATTTCAGGGACACTGTGAGACTAGGAAAAATGTCAGCTCAAACACTGCGATGAATAGGAGAGCTGCTTCCTCAGTCAGGATTGTGTTAAGTAAGTGTAACATGTAGAGTGATACTAAAACTAAGCGGCCAATGTTTGATGTCACCATGTATCAGGGTATATCAGCATTCTGGAACAGATGCTGGCATTGTCCCTCACAGTCTTGCATTGAACAGCAAACTAAGCCAACTTTTGACACCATGAGTCACTATGACAGCTACTATGGGGGCCTCGGCTACAGCTATGAAGGCTTTGGTGGCCTGGACTATGGCTATGGCTATGCATGTGGCAGTTTCTGCAGATTGGGCTATGGCTCTGACCAAGGCTCCGCCTATGGAGGCTATGGATATGGCTCTGGTTATGGAAGCTACAGATATGGCTGCTACTGTTCATTATGCTACGGAGGATACAAATTCTCTGGATTCTACTGAATTGCTGCCCTGAACTCAGCATCTGAAATTATAAAAAGACCTCTAAAACTAATTTTATTTACTGGACAATCAAACTCACACAATTTTCATAATTCATAATTTGACACTTTCCTATTTCTTGCTTTCTTAGATAATATTAAATTTAGTTCAATAGCAGAAAGCTTTTATCAATTTAACATCAGTGTATACTTATATATCAGGTGTGTGTTTTATTTAGTACAGTTTACATTTCTCAATTCAATCCAAAAGCATAGTGAGACTTCCATACAGGAAATTCTGTTTTTATTTTAAGGCCAAGGAAATTTAATAGGTCAGACCACATCAACAGACAGATTATGAAATAAACTACATTTTTCAGGAATTTATATTTCATAGTTTCATCCTATTATACTCTTGTGCATATAATTTCATTTGACATTTTTATTAAGCAGTTATTCTACAAATTACAAAAGAATTTAGCTAATTATTTTTCATATGAGTTTGACTCATAACATTTTAGCTATATTTTTATAGTTAGCTTTCTTTTTTTCTTACTTAATTTCCCTTGCAGGATATGGCATTCTATTTCATCATCATTATCATCATATTGATGATTTTGCAATCTAACAGGCAAGATAAACACAAAAACTCTATTTTGAATTAATTTACCTTTTACCTTAGGTTGATGACAAACACTACAAAATCCAGGAAGCTTTCTCATACAGCTTAATTTTAGTTAAATCATTCCCTGATGAAAATAGGAAAAATGGGGCATTCTATAGATACAGCAAGTAAAAAAGTAGTAAAAAAAAATAGTAACATTCTTCCTAAAATTAAATGCTACAGTCAAATAATAGTATACATCCACAGTTTTTGATCTACATTGGTGAAAATAGTTAACATGTTTGATTCAGTCACACAGTAGCACTGTACAGCTGCTGAGATAGAGCAGACCTTAAATGGCAGCATGCAGTTCTCCTGACCATGTACATTAAACAAATAAAGAAGTAGAAAGGAGTCAAAAAATTATATGAGTCTGGGTGACAGATTCAGGACCAGGACCAGAGTCCAGGCCTCCTGAGCCCAGGTGCCACAGTGCAGCTTCCGTCCTGCTGTCTCTTTCCCCTCCTTGCCACCAAGTGGAGCACCTGGAAGGTGTCTGCTCCATGCCATTCATATGAATAGATTCAAAGTCAAGAGACATGCTCTATGGAGCCAAACTAAACCCACCATCAGTATTGTTAGATTGAGGAACCATTGGGTTAAGGACCCTTAGTTATTGCAGGCTGATCAGGCCCACAATCTCCCAAATGAGTGAACAGCGAAGGCTTAAATAAAGTGAGATAATTGAAATGACTGTAGGGCTCCTGGGGGGTCTAACTCTCTTACAGACTTCGAGATTCCCTGGTTAAGACAAAAACTTCTCTGGGCAGCCTGTATTTATTTATTTTACAAACAAAGGAGGGGGATACTCAAGAAAATGCGGGAATCTGAGCAGGACCGGGGGAGAATTTTCCCAAGTAGTAAGTTATGTCAATCAGGAGAACTACCTGATCTTTAGGTGGACATTTACTGTAGAAGTGTGGAGCCTGCAGCTGCAGTCTCCTTTAAATTAATTGGGGTTGAAGTCAAACATCTTCAGCTGTGGCCTTGTCCTTTGAGATGTCACAGCTTCACAGACCAGTAACTCATAGAGGTTCATGTACTATGAGTCAGCTGCCCATCTTCAGCCAAGGTGCCTAAACTTCAGACAACTCAAAAGTAAATATGGAAAGCCAATTTATCAATATTAAATCCTGCTCAGAACCATTTTGTAGTGGTCTCCAACAAGGAACACTATGCTTATACTCATAAGGAATTATATTATTGTTGTAGAATGTGTACCAAACTGGATGGAAAAGATTTTGCACCAAAGAGTTGGAAAGCAACTTTTATTTATGCCAGCGAACTGATGGGAACTAGGTCTACATCACCAGCACTGGCTTACAGTAAAATAACAACTTATATGCATACAACTTATATAAGCAGGAAGTACAGAGTCAATAATTTGTTAGTCTCTAATTGGTTACATATATTTGATCACATGTTGTCAGGCAGATGTGTCTGGGGCAGGTTTCATTGGGGGGCATTCATCATGAGGCAGGAAGGTCTGGGGGAAGTCAGGGTCCAGGCAAGTGGGTAAGATTTAGTGTCACCTTGACAAGGCTGGCCTGCCCGGGGAGGTAGTCCTTGAAACAGGCCAGTAAAACAGAGTATGTGTGCAGTCCATTGTGCAGCTGGTCAGATAGAGCTGTGTCAAATTTTCTCTGAGTTGCAACTGGGTTTTTTAGTCAAGGCCAGCTGAGACTAATAGCCCAATTATGAATCTATCATTTTAAATTTTTCTACTGTATTCTCCCTGTTTTTTATAAGGAAGATTCTTCTTCCTAGGCTTTAAGAAGTTGACAGGAGGCGATTATCCTTAGGAGGAGTAGTGGTGTATGGCCTCAAAGTGCTGAGACAGAAATCACGTTAGGATGTGGGTCACACAGAGACCCAGGAGGAAGACAGTCAGAAGGGCCATTAAAGGCCCAAGTAATGCTCCTACCCATGAGGAGAATAAGTCCAGGAAACCCAAACAAGAAGACACACCCAATCTATCTCTGCTCTCTGTTCCAGGCACTTTTGCAAGTGGTGGGAGTTTTCCTTAATTATTCCTAACTTGTTAGCATAATAACAACATTCCTCCTCTAGGAAAAGACAAGTTCATCCGTGTTGGGCCATGGAAGGTCTAAGGTACAAATTTATCAGGGAAACTAAAAGGGGGAAATGTAACAGAAAATGCCCCCCAGCTAGCATACTTCAGTTTATTAGTTGCTCAGGTAATAATTCCTGTTCCGATTCTGCTTGCTTCTGTCTCTTAGAAATGGCTGGTCACTGTGATGCACATAGTATAAACCAATCCCAAACTGACAAGCCATTCTGCCTCTGTACTTCCTGCTTGCTTGTCTCATATAAGTCCTAGACCACCAGAGATCAAGACCTGATATTCGGAAATGATGCAGATCAGTGCCCATACATGTAAATAAATCTGTCGACAAATCCTTGGTATGACTTGGTGTTTCTTCTTGCCATTGCACATCTGTTCAAGTGAAGATGTGGCCCACTACATGATCAGGGATATCTGTATGGAAAGCTGATTATAGCAGTGCTCAGAAGTGTCTGGTAGTATCTAGACACATTGTTCATCTTAACCAACCACACTGAACTAGCTGTTAACTAGGAAGATGGTGACTAATAACAGATACAGGGCTTAGGTAACTTTGAAGACCATTCAGAATAACTTTAGTGATGTTAGAGGAGTATTGGAGGAGAAATATGAGCAAGTCAATTACAGAAAACACTGAGAGATTTCATTCTCTATTGGTCATCTTTCTATTGCTGTGACAAATTACCAAAGAAAACAACTAAAAGGAGAAAGATTTGTATTGGCTCATGGATTTAAAGGTTTCTGCCCATGGCCTACAGCCATCACTGCTTTTAGGCTTCAGTAATATCATGGCAGAAGGATGTGGCAGAAGAAAGCTGCTCACCTAATTGCAGCCAGGAAGGAAGGAGAGAAAAAGGGAGTCATAGAGGAAGAGACAGAAGACAAAATCTACCCTTCCAAATATGTTTCCAGTTACCAACTTTCACCCAGCAAAGACTCACTTTCTCAAATCAATTCAATGAATGATCTCTTCAGTGGATTAAACCAACTGGTGGAGCTATAACCCTCACAATCCAGTCACCCCTCTGAGTCCCAGGTCAGAATAGTATTGCATTGGCAATAAAGAATTCAATAAATGAGTCTTTAGGGGGACACTTCAGAATTAAACCATAACACATGCCATAAAAATACCACAAAAAAAGATAGAAGGAAGTAGAATTGGCATTAGGCTATAATAGATGCATTCATATTTGCAGAAGTAGTGGAAGAATAGAGCAGTAGAAAGATATAGTGGTTGATACACTGTGTCAACTGGAGACATTTAGAAGCTTAACTAAGTGACTCTAAGGGATCAGGGTCATTACTTTGTAAACATGCTATGCCTATGCAAGAAGAGGGTATAAATATGGTATGAGTGTAAATGACCAACCCTAGGGTAGAGGACCTGCATAAAATATAAGGGAGAAAATGAGGCTTGCTCTCCCATTTTGCTCTTGTTGCTTTTGCTGTCTTCTGAAGACTTGAAAATTTCCCCCTCTGCCATGCCACCCTGCTTTGGAGCCAGTTGATTATGAAAAGAAACCTTTACAAACTGTGAGCTAAATAAACCTTTCCTTTCTTAACTTTGGGCATTGAGCATTTTGTCTCAGCAATGAGAGAAAAGTGAGCAAGACAGAGCTGAGTACCAGAGAATTGCTGTAACTGTATCTGACCATGTGGCTAAAGAGCCAGTGGGAATAGATTGTGGGAAGAGTTTGGAAACGTTCAGAGATGTCACGTGAAAGAGTAATGCTTGGTCATCTTAGGTTCCTCTGTGTGGGAGATTCTCATCAGAGCTTAGAAGACTGGAAGGCTGTTAGAAATGCTGCCAGTAAAGGCCATGTTCAGGAGGTTTCTGCTGGGAAGGACAGCATTGGTTATTGGTGTGCAGATGATGTTATGTCTTGGCAGGAAGTTTGTCTACATTTTGCTCATTTTCAGAGATTTTGCCTGAGACTGAGTTTAAGGGTGGCAGACTAATTAATCTGGCAGAAGAAATTTCAAAGCAGTTTAAATTTCTTGAATGTTGAGGCTGTGACGTGGCTACTGTTGGAGGTTTTTATCCAGTACTTTGTTGAGAATCAGGAGCAAAAAGGCCAATGGATTGACTCAAAACATTGTGAGTTTGACCATAAAGGAAGATCCAGTAATGCTGTGAACTAAAAAGGTAGGGTGGAAGAGATCTCAACTGCTGATAAGGAACAGGGGACTAGAAAAGATGGCCTGAGAACATCATAAGAAGCAGCAAGTCCCTACCCTTAGCAGCAAACTGTGAAAGTGAAAGACCCTGCTT